GGAGGGTTTCTGGTCTAACACAACCTAAAATGCAGAGAATTTGAATCTTAGGACTGTGCAATGAATACCTTCCACAATAACCTGTATACAATGCTCTGCACAAACCTGGAGGTGGCTCATACTACACAAAGAGTTGCACAAACTCTTTGAGCTGAGATAAGAGACACTGACAAGAAAATTAGAAAGCAATCCACCTTCAGAGGCTAATTTTTGCCCCTTGGCCACCCCCAGTTCCCTGAGAGAAGCAGAAGTATCAAGAGCCTGCATAGTGAATTAGATGGGGAATTTTATTCAGGTAAAATTAGCTGAAACAAATAAGTAATTTCTTTTAAACCCCAACCAATTCTCTGAGCCAGTTTCATTAAGCAGCTGCACAAATTAACAGGGGAGGGCTGAGTGAAGCAGTAAGAACAGAACCACTTCATTGTTTGACAATGCCAAATTTAAGTGTACACGAGATTGTGGCTTACCTGATCCTTCTCTATAAAGCTTTTTCATTGCTTCATATGGCTGTAGTCATATTTTTCTTAGTGTATTTAAAAATGTGTTACCTTCCAGTTTTATTTGAAAGTGGTTATTCCATCTACACATAATCATTACTTCAATTTAGCTACATGCATCATTTTGATGGGCTTTGTTACCTCAGGTGCAACTCTAAGTGAGGCACTCACTGCTTTGTTTGTACTCACCTATCAATCACCAGGCATCACAATGAAGGCTTACAACTTACTCTACGCTTTGATTAAAAAAACACAAGGCAAAACAACAGAAAAAGAAGCTCTGGTACACTATATAATACATCTCTTAATAGTGGGAACATCGCAAGTTCATTTTATTTCTAAATTTTAGTCTGCTACATCTTCACTTAACTAAAATATTTTGTGCACATAGTTTGATCTGCATGCTAACCCACAAACAAAGTCCATCAGAATGGTCAGAATATCTTATGAATGAAAGCTTTGCCTCAGAAAATACCAGTCTTTTTTTTTTTTTTTTTTTTTCCAGATAAATATGTAGTTACATTCACATAAAGAAATTAAGATAAAAAGGGTTTCAGGCATCCATTTATTTTTAGTTCTTCTCATATACATCTATAGCCTGGTTTCCAGAGATCTCAAGCACAATTGTAACCACAAGCTTTCAGGACTGTAAATTCATCCCAGTCACCCAAAATCAGAGCACATAGTTTTAGGCCTGATGTCTCAGTGTAATGTAATGTAAGTGGGTTGTGGCACAGGAAAGACAACTCATGTTCCTTGATTTCACCCAGCATTATCTAACATTTAAATCAGTCCTTTACCACTATGTTCACACAAGTATCTGGAATCTATGTTGACAGATAATGCTGAGACTAAGACAGAAACAAGCTAAAAATGAAAACAGTTCTACTACATAAACAATCCATAAAGATGAAATACATTACATTACCAGTCTCCGAATGCAGACCTTGAAAGATACGCCAGCTAGTAGATGGTTAAGACTTTCAGCATATTGGGCCAGACTCCAAAACCCTCAAACTAGTTGGTAATTAACAGATATCTAGGTCCTCCACATGAAAGAAGTCTATTGTTTCAATGGTGACACAAATTTTTTCATTCCTTTTCATAGCAAGTCTCTGCGCGTGTTTAAAGATTCCCTTAGGGTGATTAACAGTTTATGATGTTGGGAACTGGAATTTCTAAGTAGATTTTTTTTTTCTTTTCACTTTTAATTGCCAGAAATGTGAACATTCTTAGAACACAGGTAGAACAAAATCATTTAACAGGATCAGTGTCTTCCACAAGAACTGAATATTCCTTTTCCTTGATTAAGAAGCCAGAAAAATTAATATCCAAAATAACTTAATACTACCTAAAAACTAACATATCTAAAACAGTAACAGAACTACAAAACACAGCACGGAGGGTCTGTAAATACTGTGCAGTATTTAGTAAGAACATACCTAGAGAACACTAGTATGCATCTTCATAAATAATGTATAGCAGTCAGAGTTCTAGGATAAACTGAAGGATGCCCCACTGAACATATTTTGTAAAGAAGGAATGATTTGTACAAAACTATCACCTGTTCTCTGATTTATTATTGTCAATATATATTAGATGAATGAAAAATAACAGACTATATGTAAACCAGACTTAAACAAATCAGTGTAATGAAAGAGAACATTATCTTAAAGTTGCCTTTTGAAAGAATGAAGTATGGTTACCTACACTTATGTGTAAGGGAGTAAGTTAAATCACAAAGGATAAAAGTAGGAGTGACAGAGAAGGAGCAGGTAGAAGTATCAAACTGAAATGAAGACACTTTAAGAAGAAAAATATCAAGCAAACAAAAAGATAATCCAGTCAGAAAAGAACAAAAAGCTACAAGAGAATCATGAAAGATTTTCTGAATGCCTGTGGCTTTCACTGCCTCACTATTTTCTAACGTCTGACTGGTGTCTCTGTACCTCTCCCAAGCTTATCTGGCCAAATGAAGATATACCCAGATACCATTGTACTAAAGAAGTTAAAACCATACCTGGAGAAGAGAGCTGAAGAAACAGTTGCTTTGGAGTCAGCTTCCCACTCAAAAAACCATTTATGGTCTGCCTACATAAGCAACTATTCATCTTGATTCACTACTACTATTACTAGAACCATATGATACAAAAGCATAATTCACCAACTCAATAAATCATACCACTAACTTAGTTAATCCTTTCACTGTCATCTTAACAAAGATGACAAACAAAAAGTTAACAAACATGTAAGCATGTGGAATGGGCTGCCGTCACCTTTAGATGCAGTTTGTCAGCCCTGGTCTAGGCTGCAGAAGCTGGTGGGCGAGTCTCAAGATGGTACTGCTGCTAGAGGAGTGCTGTAAGTGCATCACTGGCATGTCTCTTCAGCACTGCTTGTGAGTTTGGGAAAAACTGAGCTCACCTGCTCAGCAGTAGAAATTGCTTCCTGGTTGTAGAAAGCGTATCTTACAGCTCTAGATAAAAGAGAAAACAAGGAAATTCAGTTATTTTACACAAGAGACGTGTTACAGTCTTTAAGAAATACAAACTTCCCTTTTTTTGTCAAATAATATGCATATAATATCCCTATTTCTCTTTTGTTTGACAAGTATGCAGTTATGCTTCTGATTTCTATCATTCCTAGTTCCTAATTAAAAGCTTCTAAGTGATGTTAATACTTTATACTGAGTAACACAGATAACACTAGCATTATATCTTCACTTGTAACTGACAGACATCAGGTAAAAGACCTTGTCATGACAGACTGAGCAACCTCCAGAAGCTTGCTCAGAACAAAGGGAATACCTTTCTCGGTGTTGCCTTATATGATTCCATTCAGTTATATACTATTTTTATTGGTTTCAAGTAAAATTATGGTCAGATTTCTAATAGTTGTATTTCAATGCATTATAGATGGAAAAAAAAAATCCCCAAACTTGAGCACATTTGCCGCTGATGACTATGAAAGAAAATGGAAACTATATAATCATAAAAATCATTAACTTCCTAAGCACACCAGGCAAGCAGTCATATGTGGTCATGGTGCTCAAGCAGAAATATGAATATTTAATAACATTAATTGCTTCATAGAATGGCCTGGGTTGAAAAGGACCACAGTGATTATCTTGTCTCAACCCCCTGCTATGTGCAGGGTCACCAACCACCAGACCAGGCTGCCCAGAGCCACATCCAGCCTGGCCTTGAGTGCCTCCAGGGATGGGGCATCCACAATGGACGGCTATGTGGGTGGCTGTCCTGTGTCCACATAGCTGATTAATGTTTATCACAGTTTCAAAATACGCATGCAAACAGTAGAGGGTGTTTAGGAGAATCTTATTTCAGGAAGTACAGCTTTATAAGAAAATCTCCTTTTAAAATAACTTGTCGTTAACACAATCATTATAACATTTAGCTCCATATTCTTTGCATTTGATATATTCCTCATACAGCTTGTGGCACCACAGGCGCTTTGTAACATTCAGCAGTCACTTGCATGTGCATGTATATAAATAATTCTTTAAAATAAAATTACTTAGTCTGCAATCATCAGTTCTAGTATTCGAGAAGGAAGGAAACTCCGTACTCAAAACAAACTGCTACAGGAAAGGAATCTCTCTTTTTAAAATGTGAACAGAAAAAGAAGCCACTGCTGAAACCGCAGCCTGTTCCCTTCCACGTGCACAGCACTTAAGCCAATCTCTCAGCCTTTTATTCGAGTAGGTTGATTTTAGCCTGAGAAATCACCTTGTATTGCCACAACACTAAAGCTCATTTAGCATTTTTGCTGAAAACCTTGAGGGCAATGTAAACGCCTGTACTGATGTGCTCCGAATCAAAACAGCAGCAGTCGTTTTGCAGGATACAGCAGCAAGAGCAAACAACAGCAACCAGCAGTGGTGCTGAGTAACTCGGACACTTATTGAGTCTTTAAACTTATTACCTTAGCTGGAAGCAAAAGGCTAAAAATCCCCTTAAAGCTTGTTTTTGTTTTTGCCGCTTCCCCGCAGGTGCCCAACTATGGAAGGACCCTCTCACAACCCACACCACGAGAGGCACTACACCCCCGATCACCTCAGACCAGACTAGGCTCAACACAGAGCTTTGACACAGCCCTTTTCCCCTCACCCCCATTGCCAAGATGGCGGGACTGCAGGGAGACAGCGACGCCCCCAGCACGCCCGGCCCCATACTCGCCCCACCCACCCAAGATGGCGGACGCACCACTTTCCTCTCGGCTCTGCCCTCCGGCCCCCTCTTCCCTTTCCCGCGCGTTCCCATTGGCCAGCGCCGCGCGCACGTGACCCCAGCCGCAACCAATAGCAACAAAGACACCCGCGGCACCTGCCGCGAGCGGCCCGCCTCCTCCGCGCAGCTATTCGCTCGGGCGACCCGGCCCCTCCTTACGCACGCGCAGAAGGTGAACCGCAAGGTAACGACGTGAACTCAGCGCATGCGCACAGCGGGTGCTTGGCGCCCCCCGGCGGGCGGTGGCGGGGCAGCGGCTGGCTGAGGCAGCCCTGGCTGAAGTAACGCGGGCTCGACCCCACGCGTCATCTTCGCCCCATGTCGGCCCCGCGCGGGTGCGGGCGCTGGCGGGCCGTTCGCGGCCTGGCCTGGATGCCCTTGTCCGGCCGGGGCCGGACGGCAACGCCTGAGTGCGTCTCCCCGGCCTGAGCAGGGACCCGCGACATGGAGGGGAACCGAAGTAAGCTCAGCGGTATGAACGCGTGCTTTGAGCGGTCGCTAAGCAGATCCCGTGGGAAAGCGTACCGCAGAACTCGTGAGAGCTCCTGAGGAGCTCGGCTTTTTTTCTCCTCGCTCGCTCGAACGAATGAAATTTCCGTGCCAAAGTCGAGGAGGAGCACGTGGGAATGCCGATGTAACTGGGGCGTTTGTTTGATGCTGTGTCGTTGGTGGTCGTGGCCAGAAATCTGGTTCTGCCGTGCAGATGAGAAACGCTTTCCTTTAGCGTTCATTGAGGCTGCTGTGAAACAGATCCAGTGCATTTCTGACCTAAAAAACCCCAACCTTTGGGCTTTTCCCTGTGTTTAGCTTAATTGCAGGACAGCTGCGTTAGTTCAGAAGGGCTAACAGGAGCAGGGATTGCTCATCTGAGCACAGCAGTCTTATGTTTTAATGATGGTAATCTGTGTATGCTTGGAAAAAAAAAAAAAAGCCTTCTTTCACTTCAGTGTTCTTCTGCTCTGTCTTGTGTAGCTTTGACAGCAGGAGGAGCGTTTCTCTTGCAATGTTCTCACTGATACCTTCTGTCGATAACCACCAACATACCTTGTGCTGACAACAGTTTTTATTTCTCATCTGAACTCGTTCTTGTCCATTCTGCCCCTTGCAGTGCTGCGTGGCTGTCCCAAAGAGAAGAACCGTCCCATTTCCAGGAAAGAGGCAGCTGAAGGTAGTGTGATTCAGACCTATGGAGGGAATGGGGAATGTGGTGTCTGTCTGATGCTGCTTGGAATATGGAAATGGTAACTGGATGGCAACAGTTCCAGCTTATATTGTGTATAGAGTATGTGTCAGCACTATGGGTTTTTCACAGGAAACATCCTTCTTTCTAGGGAACTCTGGCTTAGCCTGCTTGTTTTCTTGCTCCACCTTCATTCTCTTGCACAGTACTGAAAGATATATGATCACAAAGATAGAGGGAAAAGAAAATCCCCCAGAAGCAATAGCCTCAGCCAGCTGTAGAAGTACTGCCACCAGGTGCCAGTCCATGCTCTGAATCATCAACTGGTTGAGACTGTTTTGAAGGCTGAGGAACTGAACGCATTCTGTGTCTGTTCATTCCACATCCTCCTGGGTGAGATTAACAAGAGCAGCTTTAACGCTGAAGAGGAGATGAATGATGTGAACATCTGTTTCTTTGAAATTAAAATTATGCTATGAATTTCACAACTCTAGCTGCCGGAGTTTAAGAGCACTCAAGCATGAGAAGTGGGAGAAAGCCTTTTAAGTTGAGAGATATGAGCAGGACAGACAGTAGTGATGTGGTCTGTTTGCTTTTGGCCTATGCAAGGTTAGAACTGACCCAGAAATGAAAGACTGTTCTGTCACCATCATCTGAACTGGACCTTCCACTACTGTTAACCATATATTGAAATTACATCAAAGTGTCTGAAAGCAGGTAACAAATAATGGCAACAGTTTTGATCTGCCACAGTGGAATTTTTTAATGATTTTTCTGAATACGTATTTTTTAAAAAGGGATATTGCATATGCTTGTTTCCCAGTATTTTAAATTTGTGATACTGTTAGGCACAGCAAGAGGGTAGGAATGGCCCAGAGCACAAGTTGTCTCGTTGACAGTGTGCTGTTCCAAGAGACTTTGTGATATATATATACTTGCTATTCCTGTGAATACAAAAGCTTGTTAAACGTAGTTGAGCTAGTGCCAGATCAGTAATATTACAAGAAGTACTTTCCATATTGCCTGCTTATTTTTAATAGTAAGTTTTTAACTGCTGATGACATAAACATCTTGTGGTGTAGTGGTGAAGGATTGTTACAATCGATGCAGGTGTTACCCTTTTGAGAGTAGTGGTAGGCTCTGTACTGACATAGCATTACTTGGCTTCTGTTGTACTGTGCAATAAAGTCATTCTTTGCTAAGGAAAATAAAAACAACAACTTTTTGCAAGCCTTGCAGTAGTGCTGCATCTTGTGACTGCTTTGGTGTCATTGTGGCACATTTGGCAGCCATAACTTGCTGTCTGAAAATAGATTATAAACCTTGTGTGGTGACAGTGAACTGTAGCTGTTGAAGTGGAGTGGGGGAAAAAGATTTACTAATTAACTGCCTAACAATTGAAGATGGAATTGTTAACCAAAATAGAGGACATGTTCCCTTTTCTAGCATGATCTGGTGACACAATGAGCTATATTTTCTTTTTGAAGTCCTTGCCAAAGATGTGTTGCTAGTATTTTAACTGTTTCCATTGACAGGCTTAGTACCTCAAATATGTATTCCTGGAAGAGAGGAGATGTGATAAACCATGTTCTGATCATGGTTTAAAAAAAAAAACAAACTTAAAAATCTTCAAAAAAAAAATGTTCTTTTAAATATTTGTAATGGAGAAAGGAGGCATTCAAGGCCAGGCTGGATGTGGCTCTGGGCAGCCTGGTTGGCAAGCCTGCATGTAGCAGGGGGGTTGAAACTAGATGATCATTGTAGTCCCTTTCAACCCAGGGCATTCTATGATGTAAGAGGCATATTAGCTGTTGCAGTTAATATACTTGGTGAGCAAAATTTATCAAACTGTTTTTATCTGAAAGTGTGTTCAACGTTTTATCTCTAGAATGTTTACCAAAATACTGATGGGGCAGGATGGTAGCTAAGGAAGGTTTTGGCTGTAAAATATTCACAAATGCCTTTTCTGTGATAATATGTTCAATTCTTTCCATTGAAAACATTCTCCTTTGTCATTTCTGAGTTTTAGTGATGATTAGGTGCCTACCTGTGCAACCTGGTCTAGGGAGCCTGCTTTGGCATGGAGATTGGACTAGCTGATCTCTAGAGGTTCCTTCCAGTCCCTACAGTTCTGTGATTCTGTGATTAATTTATAGTGAGACTTCATTAATATTTAGAGAGAGGCTTCCAGAATACCCTTTGTTGATGTACTTGAAAAATTATTTGAAGAAGCATGAAATGGTTTGGGTTGGAAGGGACCTTTAAGATCATCTAGTCCCAACCCCCTGCTATAAGCAGAGACACCTCCCTCTAGACCAGGTTGTTCAAAGCCCCATCCAGCCTGGCTTTGAATGCTTCCAGGGAGGGGGGCATCCACAGGCTCTCTGGGCAACTTGTTCCAGTGTCTCACCACACTCACAATAATGAATTTCTTCTTAATATTTAGTCTGAATCTACCCAGTTTGGGTTTAAAGCCATTTCCACGTGTCCTGTCATGACAGGCCCTTATAAAAAGTCCCTCCCTGGCTCTCCTGTAGGCCCCCTACAGGTGCTGGAAGGCCATTATAAGGTCCCCGCAGAGCCTTCTCCAGCTCTCTCAGTCTATCCTCATAAGGGGAGGTGCTCCAGCCCTCCCTCATCATCTTTGTGGTTTTCTGGACCTGCAGCTCAAAGCCAGAGAAGCTTCATGGACCATCAGAAGTCACCCCAGTTCATCATTACATTGTTTCACTTTCATGCTTAGAAAGTAGACTTACAAAAGTTTAAGCCTACAATAAGAAAAACCTGTCTTGCCTGATCTTTCAGAAGTAGTAGGCCCCTGCTTCCCACTAATGTGAGTGGGAGCCTTTGAAAAGCCTGTTAAGAGCTGCTCATGTTTTTAGATTTCTTGGAAGCTGTGCAGACTTGTAAATGGCAATTTGTATTTCAGGTGATTTGAAGGCATTTTGGACACAACTGGAAAGTAGAAGAGTGGATCTCATATTTGAGCAGGTGCAAGAAGTGCTGCTGCTGCTAAAGGAAAAGATCAAGAATGGAACTGCCACAAATCAAGGTTTGAAATCCTTGTAATGATTCAGCAGGACTGTGAATGAGCTACAGTCTTATTTCATATTGAAGAAACCATTGTAACATTAGCAGAAAAATTTAACAGCAGCTTGTTATAAGAATGTCCCCGATTTTCATGGAACTAAATGTTCTTTATCTACATCAAAATCAGAAGATAAAGCTAGAGCAGTACAGAGGTTTGGGTTTTAATTTTGGTAGTGTTTTAATTTATAAAAATATTTATTATTATTAAATCATTCCTGTAAATCTAATCTGTATATCTCACTGCTTCTGTGCAAGAAAATGTGCAATTGTTTAAGATGCTTTTAAACTGATACAGCTACACACTCTGCATTACAGTGCTTGTTTTATATTGGTACTGCATTTTTTGGGAGGTTAACTTGAGCTATTTAATCTTGATGTTATGACAAAATGTTACAGAATAGCAGAGCTAAAGGTTGAATTTGAATCTCCAGGTATTGGCGTGAATCTATGCCATACTTAAATTTGTATTTTCCTATGTGTTGTTTTGTTCCAAACTAAAATACTAATGTGAATTTTACTGACATTTGTCTACCAACTTGTGATATTTATTGCATAGGGCAACAGATTGAGACAGCTAGTCACCTCTTTGTGTTCTTACTATCTGAAGACCACAGCCAGCAATTCAGGAGTAGCATTAATTTGCTCTGACAAGATCCTGTCCTTAGCCAGAAGATGGTCAGTCTGGTGACAGAAGCAAAGAAAGAATCTTGCACTGATCTGCGTTTATACAAATTGCTGCCTCTGAAAACTACTGGACTGGTGTTTAAAAGCATTCCAGCAGCTTTCTGAAAAAGGATGTGCTGTTCAGTTACTGATGTGAGCTGTGGCTGTGTTGCTACTCCTAGGTGTGTCTGTTCAGGACTGTAGCAGAAAGTTAATTGCAGTTTCTGTGTTGCAGTGCTCTATATTAGCACAGTGAGGAAACAAAAGTGTCTAGAGCATAGCTTTCTTTTTCCTTCTAGCAGTCACTACTGTCATTGTCCCTATTACTACATTGCACTTCATATTTGGTTTTGTTTTGTTTTTATATAGAATGTTGGCAGGCTTGGACACTGGTAAACGAAGCTGATCTGGGTGATCTTTTAACGTTGACAGATGGTATGTGCATCTTAATTGCATTTATTTGCTATGTAGCTTTAATTAGTCTCGCCAGAAGTTTGTTTCCGTATGTTGAAATCAATAAAGTAGATTTCAGGAGCTTGTTAGCAGTGCAAGAAAAAAGTGATCATTTCCTCAGTTACTGAACTGCAGATGTTCATCTGGGCTTGTACTTCTGTGGTGTGTGTGTGTGTGGCTTGGACCAAGTGAAGCTGGAGCTTGCAATAAGAAACACTGATAAACCTGAGCTAAAACCAAAGTTGGCTTGTACAGTATTCCCCTCATGGCAATACCCTGCCAGCATTTTACCTCAAATAATGAAGAAAAACCCATATATGTTTCCTCTATGTTACCTCTGTAGTTTGAAAGCTTCATGGGAGACTTTAATACTCAAGTCACATGATGGCTGGTGAAAAAGCATAAATGTTTGCAGTGTGTTTCTATCTCAGATTTGTCCATGCACACTTACATTTTCCTCCTCTGGGGAGAGGGAATGGCAGGGGGAGGGAGGATGGAGAGAAGTAGCAGAGAGAGAAGAGTGTGTGTGAGTTTCTCACCTATGTACCTTAATGCAAACCCATCACTTCTGTATAAGTACAAAAAAATTTATTTCTAGGAGGGTGCTTGTTAGCATGCTTTGTTATCTGTGGTTCTTAGCAATGCATTACCTTTTTTAGTGTTTTTGCAGTTATCTCTTTAATAACTAAATTCAATTATAGATTATTGAAATGTGGACCACTGAGGTTTTGCTTGTGTATTTTTTCAGTAAATGATGTTCTTGATGGAGAGGATACACAGGAATCCAAACCTAAATCACAGCATCCTGTTACAGATGACAACAGTGGAAATTCTGTAGATGGTTCACATAGGTCAGTATTTATTTAATACTTCCAGAATGGCAAAGGTCATTATTGTACCAAAGCTCATTTATTGTATCTTTACTGAATTTGAGAGTTTTTAATCTCTCCGTATTATTTATATATTCATTGATTTAAAATCAACTTTGAGTCCTGACAATTTTCAAAGTATTTATTTTTTAAATTGACCCATATGGAAAACCTGAGGTTTTAAGTAGACTTATCTAATACACCATGTGAAAACCTTGCAGGATAGAACATCTGTTTTGTTCTGAATGAAGATCCATGATTATTAGCAGGATTACCAGGCTGGAACTTGAAAGTTTTAAGTTCAGTTCTCAAGCTTTCACAGACTGTGAAGATTGTTATTAGGCACACGACTTCATTTTCATAATTAGCCTTGGGAGCTGATTTGGAAGATAGAAGGAAAGATATGGTTCCTTTTTTGTTGCTGTCACTTGTACAGTGCCATTCCAAACATGTCTGCGTGTGGTGTCAGAGATGTTAGGTAATGCAGACAGTCATTCAGTAAAATCCTTGGCTGCCTTCAAGCTTTCCTACACTAATAATGCTGAACCACTAGAAGACTGGTTGGCTTACTGGTCATCTGAGATGCTGTTCTTTTCTGTCTCTTTTTTTTTCATTCTCTCATTCCTATTAGCAAAAAGGAGAAGATTGAAAAATCAGATTCAGGGAGTGAGGAAGCATCGAGTGAAATTCAACATGTACCTCTAAATCGCCGGTATCGGATCCACAAGTGCTCCAGTGCATGTCTCTCCAACAGAGCAGTAAGCTCCTACAAGGGTGAAAATCCTCTCAAGATACCAATACTGTTTCACTTTCAGAGACGCCATGCGAAAGCAGACTGCCTTTCAAAATCACTGGATGTGCATTATAAAGCTCCCTGTGGCAGAAGTCTGAGAAGTTTTCAAGATGTTCAGAATTATTTGTTTGAGACAAAATGTGATTTCTTATTTATTGATCACTTCTCTTTCAACACATACGTCCTGTTGGGCAGGAACACTGTAAATCCAGAACCCCTTGTGTTTGATGTTGATATTAGCAATGGAGCTGAATCTGTGCCTATTTCCTTCTGTAATGACATTGACCGTGCCAGGTTACCTTATTTTAAATACCGGAGGGCATCGTGGCCTCGTGGATATTATCTCAACAATTTGTCCAGCATGTTTCTTGATTCATGTGACTGCACGGATGGCTGCATTGATAGGTAAGTAGAAGAATCTAATCCCAGACAAACTGTGCATAACGTGTCAGTGTGGTGTTGGAGGTGTGAAGGTGCACAATACCAAGCAGTGCCAAATGAAGGAACAACTCTCCATAGATATCTGCAGTGGCTGTCTTGTGCCACGGTGTTGACTGAAACCACTGTGTCTTTTTTTTTCTCCAGAACATGGGTGCTCCTACCTACCCAGCCTCTGTTATAGGGAAGGAAGCAATCAAGATGTGGATTACGATGTTCCTTTACCTTTCTCCTCAGACATGCAATGCTTCTCCTTTAAGCGGAGGAGGAAAGCACATCTCATGGTTTTAGGAAAGGAGTGGGGAAGGGAGAGAGTTGTGGTAGCAGATGGCAGCTCATTTTTCTGGCAGGCAGGGAAGATTTCTGAGTGATAACTTCTGCTGCAGATCCTTCTGCAGGATGATATCCCTCAGGGCTGGGATTTGACAGCCTAGAGAGGTCAGGTAGTTTGGGTCATAGATTAAATAGGGCAGAAGAAGAAATCTCCTTTTACAATCTCTACATTCCATCCTTTTCTTTCCTCAACAAATGCTGTGAAACATTGAGGTCACACAAGAAATTTACATTCTGGACTGTTCCAAATGGTGTTGCTCATTGTTGTTGAACTTCTAAACCCTTCTAACTCTGGACTGTGTTTAACTCTGTGAGAAATTGCCACAGTTAATGTATGTAAGTTCAGTTTTCTGCTCACCTGTGGTGTATTTGTCTGGTCTTTGCCTGCAGATATTAATCTTGGATTGAATATATTTTGTATAATTGATAGCTAAAGGACACGCTCATACTGCTGTGCAGTACAACTGCCTATGATCATGTGTGCAGCTTGAAATAGAATAAGATTCAGTAACTCAAATTATTTAGTTTTAGCTGGACAGCAGAGAACAGCGAGCACATAGCATGCTCCTTCTGTGTGCTGAACCTCACCAAGACCTGAGATGCTTTCAATGTGTAGTTCCAGAGGTTGATATTTGGCTAATTGCAGTGAGTCTTTAGAGCAGTCATGACTTACAGATGGTGAGGATCAGCATTACAGCTGGAGTTCTTCAATTGGTAGAGTGGAATTACTCAATTCTCAAGGCCTGGAGTGGGAGGAAAGTGATGAAGTAGTGGCTAACAGACTGGGATGCTGTGCCAGAACAGGTGATTTTCTTTCCTTCCTTCAGTCCATTTGACAGTGTCCTGTTGGTAATGATTTCTGTCACACGTCAACTTTTTGTGTGTGCCTTTGCAGAGGCTGGCAGAATGGAGAACAGGGGGGGACATGATTTTTGTAAGCACGCATAACCAGGCAAGAGACAAAGAGGAGGATGGGGTACCTGAAATGACCTTTTGGAGCAAAGGTGGAAAAAATTATCAAATAGTGCATTTGTGTTTGTATATAGTCAAATACATTTTAAATTATATAGATGTGAGTTTGATTTACTCTGCTCCAAACACATTCTGATTTTTATACAATGGTTTACCTTTATTTTCTAGGTCTAAGTGTGCATGTCTGCAGCTAACTGCAAGAGGCTGCCGTAAAGTTTCTCTGTCTCCTAATACTAAAACGTCTCGTGGATACAGTTACAAAAGACTGGAAGGGCCTGTTCCTAGTGGGTAATAAAGACAGAGCTATTTTGTGTACTCTTTACAACTGTATTGTCTTTGAATTACTGAAACCTTGATTTTTTTTATTTTTCAGTTTTACTAATTGATAAGAATGATTTTTGCAGAAATAATTAATGTGTCTTGAATAAGAGAGATGAAAAAATACTTTTGTGCTGCAGATACTACAGTTTTCACATCTTAGTTCAAGGCCCAAGAAGAGTAACACAGTATTACCTGGTTTAGAAGCTCAGGACTTACCTGGCCCTTGTACTTGATCATTCATGCAATCAATGGGAAGGAAACCTACCTACAAGGAAAGGAAACCTATTGCAAGATCTATTGCAAGACCATCACAGCCAGTATCAGTCTAAGAACACACAAACAAATGTAAAAAAGCACAGGTCTGAATTCTTTTAGTGTCACTTGGTTAAATCCTAAACTCCTGATAGCTGCAGTGAGGTCTTGACAGACAGGTTGTCTTTGCTAAAGTTTCTTTCAATAGAATCAGCTGCCTCTTTAAGATTTCTGCATGTCTGACTTTCTTCTGTGAAATAAAAAGGTAGCTTCTATTTTTTGTCATCTTACACAAAAATCTGGCTGACAAACTCTTAAAATTGTTGAGTCAACAGTCAAAAATGTCATGAGTTTTGGAGCACTGCTGTGCAATCAGTTTTAGCCAGTCTCTTTATCTTTTCAGCCTTGTTTGTACTCAGGAGTGAAATTAATACTAGCAACTTTACTTTCCTGTGTTTTATTTTGCTTCATCTTGACAGAATTTATGAGTGTAGTGTGTCGTGCAGATGTGACAAGATGATGTGTCAAAACAGAGTTGTACAGCATGGCATTCAAGTTCGATTGCAAGTGTTCAACACAGAGAAGAAGGGTTGGGGCGTCCGCTGCCTGGATGATATCGACAAGGGGACGTTTGTTTGTACTTACTCAGGTAACAGAAGATGACCTGTGGAAGATTTATAGCATAACTTTTACCTCCCCTGTGTCCGATGCCATGGAATTTCTTTGAGAAGCAAGCAGGGAAACTTGAAGTTGGAGAAGAAGTGAGGCTGTATGACCTGAACTTGCAGATGATCAAACAGACAGAAAAACCTTGAAGGATTCTGCAGTGTGATGGTGCTATCTGGAACAAAGCCTGTCACACATCCATTTTCCCTCACAAGTCTCTGCATCTTGTGCAAAGGGTAGTTTTCCTTCAGTATAGGTGCATTCATCTTTTGTTTTCCCAAATCATTCTCTTGCCTTTAATACAAGTTTGAGCTAGGATACTGTGTATGACCCAGCTTAGTAAAGTAAGCACTAATTAATTTCTTTACTCCTTCTTCCAGGCAGGTTAATGAGCAGAGCTGAAGTTCAAGAGCTGGGAGGTGCTGATCAAGACTTGAAAGAGGAGAGTGCTGTGAATGACAGAGGGCAAAGCTTTTTTTCCAAAAGAAGAAAACTTGATTCTAGCTGTTCAGACTCTGAGATTGAACTCGTGCAGACTGGCAAAGATGATATGCTTGAGCAGCAGGAACAGCAGGAACCTTCTGCTAATGAAAATGAATCAGCTCTGTAAGTTTACCAAACACAAAACGTAATATTCTGATATTCTAAACATACAGTAGAATTGAATGTTGTTTGCTGAGAGGTGTTTCTTTTCTTTTTCAACCTTTTAACTCCTGGTTGTTGGTTTTAGTGGGTTTTAGTTATTCCTCTATACTAATTTTCCTCACAGCATGCATTCCTTGGCATTTGCTAGAAATCCCACTTGTCTCCTGAGTGTCTTGACCTCTTCAGGGCATGAATAATTATGCTAACTTGAAAAGAGAGAAGCAATTAAAAACATACTTGATGATACTAGAGGATTTGATAATAAATTAGCCACCAACTCTACTATTCTTTGCTTCCATCTCTAAACCTTTTCTTCTTTGTCCCTTAACCCACTCTGCTAGGACTTTTAACATTGCCAGTTAGGAGTCTGACACTGCCTTGCTTTTGCAGATGTTGTTGCAATAGACAGAAATTGTTATCTTGATTAGATCTCATAGCCTATCAGGATTCCTGAAATAAAACTACTGCAAAAAAATAATGTGACTTCATCAGTAGCATACTGTAGTCTTTTTCAGAAGGACACCAGGAGCTTGTTTTTTTCAATTTTCTGCCTTGCTTTGCTTACACTTTCTTTGTAATACCTGTAAGTAATTGCAAATACTTGTTTTGTGGGGAAAGGCTATTGCAGATCTTTGAGAAGCACAATGACATCACAGACAGAAACTTTTAAAAAATACCTGCCAGTATATTCTCACGTTTTGGTATCTTGGAAACCTACCAAATTAATAATTTTGTGAATTACAGAATTATCAGCTGTTCACTTGATGGTTCTTCCCCTATAAATTGTAGGGAAGAATATTTTTATATTTGTGATTACTGTACAGCTACCTTCAATCTCATTAATTTCCCTTTCTGAGAATAAAAATGTTTCACGTGAGAGATGTATGAAAATTGAACAGAGAGAGAGAATTTGTTATTCCAACTCTTAAAAAATAAGAAATCTTTAAAGATTTTTAGAATAGAACTCTTTTTACCATTATCAGTAGCCCAAAGAAATACCATCCTTTTTTTTCATGGAAAGAAAAACATATAAATGTTTTAGGTTGAATTTTTTACTTACAAAGACCTGTTACTTATTGCTAGATGTTACACAGATACTCAGATTAGGTTTAGGCTGGTATTTTCTAATGCACTCTAAACATAAACATGACTTTTGATGTTTTAGAGATACATACAAAATACTGCTTCCCATCCTTCTTCACACTTTCACATCAGAAGGTTGAGGTTCTTCTGTGTGAGAGCATTTTCTATATCTCCTGTATATTGACTGTCTCACCTTCTATTCTTTCTCCCCATAACACTTGTTTTGCTTTCCTGTTTGAAGCTATGGTGTCAAAACTATTGAAAGCAATAGCAGCAAAAAGGCAGAACTGTGTAGGTACTCTATGTTGAAGTGATATAATAATCAAACAACGACAAATTTGGTTCTCAGGAGCAGTGAAGAAGGATGTAAAAGCAATTGCTGGTCTCTCAAAAAAAATGATAGTGTTTTATTCAAATGCTGTTGAGAACTTAACCTAATTCTTCCATTCTTAAAGGCAATTTGAGGTGAAAGTAGGACTACAGGCTATGATCTGTTCTTCATGAGCTAGAGACTCTTAAAGAAACGTGTGTTGTGAGAGTTATTTATGTGTCTGTCTTTTGCAATTTCCCTTTGAACTTCCTGTACAGAATTCATGCAAGGAATTTGAATGCTGCAGCTGTGAGAAGGCTTGGAACTAGAATAGCTGTTGTGGATAATCACCAGCTGAAAATGGTAATGTTAATAAGTGGTTTTGAAAGATTAATATTCACTATGCTGAATATATATGTTAATTTTGACCTTCTAATCTCAAACACGTTTAAAAAATCCTAACAAACTTTCTTCATGAAATTATGTGGGGAAATGGCTGTAAACTGGAAGAGGGTAGATTTAGACTGGATATTAAGAAGAAATTCCTTAGTGTGAGTGTGGTGAGACACTGGAACAGGTTGCCCAGAGAGCCTGTGGATGCCTCCTCCCTGGAAGCATTTGAAGCCAGGCTGGATGGGGCTTTGAACAACCTGGTCTAGAGGGAGGTGTCCCTGCCTATAGCAGGGGGTTGGAACAAAATGGTCTTAAAGGTCCCTTCCAACCCAAACCATTCTATGATTCTGTGTCACACTGTGAGCTGAGCTGGAAGTTGTATCCTGTCCCTTCTCCATTGTCAGCTGTTCAACTTCTTGCTGAGAATGGCACTAGTTACTTTCACAGCCTTCCTTTCCAACCTCACCCTTTGCATACACTCCAGTTATGAGTCTCAATAAAGGATTCTTCCCCCTCCACCTCCTTTATTAACTAATTGCAACATTAGGGAGTCAGAATGATAATATTTTTGTGACACCTCCCTAGAAAATGATACAGCAGGGAGAGAAGAAAATCATTGAGCAGTAACTTCATGCAGTGGCACAGTGAAGAGAATCTTACCTGCCCCAAGTGCAAAATGTTACCTGTAAATGTGTGCAAAAGGAGGAGACTGGTGTAAACTTATTCTACAGGTTTCACTGCACATCATATTTTCATGCAAACATTTGGCAGTTTGGTTTACTCTGGTGCTTCCGTAACTGGTTTCTTTTATTTTATTAAAACCATTTTTTATTAAAACCATGTACAAAGTATATTTGGGCTTTGGTTAAACTTAACACAAAAACATTTAGACTAGTGAAATGTTTGGGTCTTAAGCACTTATATTAATATTATATTGAGTGGTGAGCTTCTTCCAGGTTGTTCCAAAGAATAATTTGAAATTAAGGTACGTGTTGCGTTGCAGTAAATGTTTGGACCTTTGGAACTCAGTGTTACAGTAGGTTTGAAACTTAAACCCTGGAGTCTTAAAATCTATTTGCTATCCTTTGTTGACTCAGAGTTGCATACAGCAAAACTACATCACAGCCTTTTCATTACTTTTTTTGTTTTATTTAAAGGAGGTTGATACTCTGGTGCACAGTGCCAGCTCAGATGAAGATAATATTTCTCAGTCTCAGCATTCAAGCAAAACAGAACTGACCAGTGGAACAAACAAAGAAAAAGAAAGTAAGTTTGCAGAGTTAGAAATACTGTACTCTTAGTATACTTGTGTCCCATCAGCATGTGATAGACTTAAAATGTAAACAGCAGTCTTCGTGTTTGTTGCAGGCCTGTTCTCAGGATAGAATAATGATGCCATGGAGTGCTTGGGCTGCTCTAGCAGCTCAGCAGTACAAAAGTTATTGCTGCCTTGCATATCACAGTGCATTGACTAACACAGGACACTATTTTGCCTGCAAAGTTGACCTTGGGACACATTAAACAGCTCATAAAATTGTTTCTCAACTACAGGGCAGCTGTGGGAAATTCTGTTTCAAAATGTACACAAAATAGAGTTGTGTTATACCCACTATGTGTAGCTGTCAACAAAAAAAGGATACATGGGGAATTGCAGGGTTGAGAGCATTCAGCTTTGGGAAACAATGTGAAACTGATATTATTTGCACATGCATCTCACTTCTGTCTTCATTTCAGTTTGTGATTCTCTCAGAAAATAAAGGAGAGAATGAGGAAGAAATGCTTTGTGGAAGAAATTGTTTTGGAGTGGGATTTGAGAAGAAGGGAGGGAGTGGGTCACTCATGGGAGACATAAGCAAATGCCTCAGGCACTGCAGCAGGAGGTGTAGTGATCTGCAGCACGAGTGGTGAAAGGTGTCCGAAAGGATAATTATGACTTTGCAAATGGTAAGGAAACCATGTGCACTTTGGAGGACAAAGAAAGATGGATGTAGAAGAGTTTGGGGCCAAACAAAGGCTTTGGCTTCTGCTTTAAAACTAATGTTGAAAAATAACTTGGACATCAATTGACAGGATCCATCCAGAAGCAGAAGGAAAAAGATCTGGTGGAAGTTGGACAGACGGAGCCTGGTGAAATGGGCAGTGCAGAATGCAGAAGGAAGAGTCTGTCTCTGAAGGGTGTTGCTTGTGGCAGATCAGATGTGCTGAATGATAAATACGTTGTAAAGCCATCCACAAAGGTTCCACAAAAAGCTAACTGCAAAGAGGAAGCTCACAGACAGTCAAAACAAGGGATATTTTGTATGGATGCAGACGGTGACAGGACGCTTCTGAAGAATGCTAATGATGAAAATATCTATATACTAGATGCCACAAAAGAAGGAAACGTGGGTCGTTTTCTTAATGTAAGTAAAAACTTGCACGTGTTCTTTTACTTGCCTTAGCTTAAATGAGTAATGTGTTTTCATGAGCCAGAAAGCTTTTTCAAAAGTCTGTTCTATCATAACCCATATCTATGGTTGGGTGTGTGTGAAGGCAGTGTGGTGCTCCCTGCACTCTGAAGTGACAGGACAGCAGATTGGCTCATGCCAGCTGTGAGGGCTTACATAAGATGCAAGGTTACAGAGTGAAATATTCCCAAGTAATGAGTGACACTTGTTTCCTGAATTTTAGAATATCATTTTGGGAGCGTGAAGTATCTACAGATCAAATTGTGCATTGTACTGAACCACAACCCTTCTCCCAGCTTCACTTTTTATTCCCAAACCATTATAAATTCTGGCTTATGCTGGTTTAAAGTAAGTGCTGTGATATTGTAGGAAATTCTCAAATATAATTGAGCTGTAGAAAAAAGTGATCTGTCATACTGTGAGATACCTGGTAAGTCCCTCACCTTTGACTTACCAAGAGATAGCAATGATTTCCAAAGAACCTCCAACTAAGATGAATGCTTCATACACGCCACCTGTATGCACTCAGCAAGTAACTTATTTCTCTCTGTTGGCATGGATGTGTGTCTTACTGCAAAATCCTTGCATATATTTAAGTGTTACCTACTTGCAGAGGTAGTATGGGAGTAAGAGTAGTAGTGCATCTTGCTGAAACCTTCCTTTTTCATCCATGACCATGCATGTGTCCCTATTGCTTACTCCAAGAGATGCATGTCATCTACTGATAATTTGTGCTGCATTGTAAATCAAAGATGATTTCTCAGCATAAATTCACGGAGAACAGCTTGATAAAAAGGCTTTGATTTTTCCTAAGAAAGGGTACTTTCGTAGAGTATGATACATTAGAGACAGGGCTAAACAAAACCAGTGGCAGTGGCATTAAGTAACAGTTGGCTGGAATAAGGGAGGAAGGAACTACTTGTAGCAGTGACATACCTGACACAAAAGAGAATCTTTAGTGGAGGACCGGGTGTTTCACTGTTTCTAATTCGTGTATTTTGTTTCACAGCACAGCTGCTGCCCCAACCTCTTTGCACAGAGTGTGTTTGTAGAGACTCACAACAGAAGTTTCCCATGGGTTGCTTTCTTCACAAACAGGTGAAGTTTTCAGAATCTGAATGTTTATTCAAGGCACTAGGGAAGAAAATAATGCTTAATTATTAAGGAAAAGTTATGCTAAGTGTGCAGCTATTTACCAAATGAAACCATAAAACTAACTGCTTATGAGTGGCTTCTCATTGTGCACTGAAGACTGAAGTAAAAAATCTGCTTGTCACTAAAAGTTTTTTATTTAGTTTGCACTGAAATGTGATGTGGAGTAGCTTGGTTTTGATGCTAGTTATCATTGAACCTATTATTTCCACTGAAGAGTAGGAAATAATTAACTCACCATGATCATTTTAAAAGCCGTGGTTGATTGGTCTTAGTGTTGTGTGTCTCAAAGAGTGGCCAGCAGAGCTGTGTCCTTTAGGGCAGAGTTGGAGCCTACAGAATCTTACATTTGATACATTTTCTCTGTGGGCACACCAAGCTGACTCCAAACCTCTTCACAGCTGCCAAGATTAGCAAGGTTCTGCGTAGTCAGACTTGTCTTGGGAATGTGGCAATAGGGTTCTCAAGTAGAAACTTCCTCTGAAAGCAAAAGATGTGGTTATCTCCTACCAGATGTCAAGAAGGGGAGATGCAGATTGCAGGTGCCAGTGAGACAAAAGAAGGCCACAGCCAAACCCAGGAAGGAAAATATGAGCTATAGGAAGTAAGTTAGCTGATGAGTGTGACAATGGAGTGCTGAGAGAGAATTTACAATGCAGAAGAAAGGATTTATTTTAGACAAACCCTCTGCCTGAGGTACACAAATACTCTGTGGAGCCTTGCAGACGTAGGCCCAGCCCTTGATCTTCTGCTCTTACATGCTGTGGATTGCTTTGTGGGGGATTATGAGAACTCTGAAGACAATAGTTTGAAACAAGATTTTATTTTAGCTGGAATCTTTCTTGCTCAGGTAGTCAATAAATAGTTGTGTAGTGGGGATTGAGGCCAAAGGGCAGAGGCAGTAGTGGTCAGCAGAAGGCAGTTAAGGGGGATTGTTGAAGAAATGTTTCCCTGTCTTGTCCCGTTGCTTCATCAGTCACTCCTTTGCAACTTTTCTACATTAAGGACTGCATTTGAATCATTGAACTTAATTTTATATATTCTGTAAACTTACCCAGCCACGATTTAAATTATTTGATATTTCTGGCTTCCAGAACATCCTAAGGCAAAAAGTCTCATATTACAATTATGCTCTGCTTGAAAAGTCCTCATTTGCTTTATTTTCAGCCTGCTGCCTGATAACTCACTGGGTATCCCTTATGTTACCCTGTGAGAAGTATCACAGAATTAATCTTCTTTATAGTACAAGTATTTTATTGTATTTTCCCTTGGTTGTACCTCAGCGTCTTAGTCTCTATTTAATTTGGCATTCATTTTGAACAATCAATTTCCTGCATAAGAAATTACTTCTCTTTCACATACTTGTCACAGTGGCTCTTGAGGATCTTGTGTTTAACTTTGAGTCCTGAGCTTTGTGCACGTGTGCAGTGCAGTTGCACTAAAAGGTTGCTTGTTAGACCGAAGATGGTAACCTTCATCACCACTGCACCTAGGGAGCTGTTTGAACCGCAGTGATGTGCTGTGCATAGTAAAAACAACAAAACTGCCCGTGCTCTCATTAAGATGTATTCATGTATCTGTTTTTTTCCTTTTTCTTCGGTTTATTTTTTTTTTCCCAAAAATTTGCCTGGAATTTAGAATGGGTTGTTTAGACCCTGACTCTTATCAGGCTGCTTGACAAAACCTTTATTGCTAGGTACAGGTATTTGCACTCCTCATAGCTCTAGTAGGGGAGTCAGCATTCCTTATATCTCTTGGTGCCACTTGTTATATCTCTTGGTTCAATCTGAGCATGCTGCCTGTGCAATGCTTTTGTCTCCATTTGGATTTTGCTTGTGAGTTGTTGGTGACAAATTGTAAGCACATTACTGTGTCACTTAATACAAATAAATTGACCAGATGTTTTATTTCTTAGACATGTGAAAGCTGGAACTGAACTCACGTGGGATTATGGATATGAAGCTGGAAGTATGCCAGAGACAGAGATTTCCTGTTGGTGCGGGGTTCAGAAATGCAGAAAGAAAACCTTATAGAGCAAGCTTTTCCAATGTCAGCACCTCATGTACATAGAGATTTATATGCTGTAAGGGACTGGACACTGAGCAGTGCAGTTAAATCTGTGGTGCTAATTGAACTAAAATGCCTTTTATCTGATAATTTTTTTAATTTACATTTAAATGTCATTTTTATAGTTTACATGGATAAAGCTGGTTGTAATACAGACAGGCATCAAACTTTTACTAGATGATATTTGCTGTGCTCCTAAGCTTTCCCCCCTCCTCCTCCCCTACATCCCTTCCCCGCTTCATTTACAAGCTGGAAGAAATCATGCTTTTCTGCAGTTTGCAACAGAAATATGATGGATGCACAGCAGTGGTTGGCTGATGTTCTTGGTTGTTGGTAATTACATCTCTTTCCATGCTTATGACAGAAATTGCCCAGAGAGGTGATGGATGCCCCATTCCTGGAAGACATTCAAGATCAGGCTGGATGCATCTCTGAGCACCTGATGGAGCTGTAGGTGTCCCTGTTCATTGCAGGAGAGTTGAACCAGATGGCCTTTGGGTGTCCCTTCCCACTCAAACGATTCTGTGATTCTGTGAAATCCTTCAAAATCCACTGTGCCTCATTTCAGTGCTATGTTGTACAGTATGTCATATGTGAGACATCATATGTGAGACATGCCTTGCTGTGTGGTTTGTTGGTAGGAAAGAAACGGTCTACGTTTGATGATACTGTGTGCAGATTCAGGAGGAGGCTATAAAATTGGTAGATCATAGAATCATTTGACTTGGAAAAGATCTTCAAGATCATCAGTTCCAACTGTCAGCCTAACCTCCTGTGTCCTGTGTCTAAACCATGTCCCTAAATGCCATGTCCATGACAACGCCAGGCATGGAGACTCCACCACTTCTCTGGGCAGTGCATTTCATGGCTTAACTACCCCGTCCATGAAGAAATTCTTCCAAATCTCCAATCTAAACCTCCCTTGGCGCAACTTGAAGCCATTTCCTCGTGTCCCATCACTTGACACCTGAGAAAAGAGGCCAGCACTCTTCTCTTTGCAACCTCCTTTGAAATAGCTGAAGGGAACAGTGAGGTCCCCCCTCAGTGTCCTCTTCTCCAGGTTGCACAACTGCAATTACTTCAGCCATTCCTCAAAGTTTTCTAGACTTTTAACAAGCTTCATTGCTTTCCTCTGTACACACTCGAGCAATTCTCCATCCTTTCAGTGAGAGGCCCAAAACCAAACGTTGTGCTTGAACTATGGTCTCACTGATGTATACAAGAAGCAGCCCTAGATAGTAACGTGACCCCCCAAGATGGTAGATTTTTTGTTATTACATGATTTTTAGCAGTATTTTCCATGAGTTGATTTCATGTGGGTCAAGTATGGATTGCATAAGTGACAAGTGCAGTATTGACTCTGCTTCTCTCACCTGCTGCACGAGCTCTGTTGGATTGAAACGTGTGTGTTACGTGGTACATGAATCATAGAATGGCTTGGGTTAGAAGGGCCCTCAAGGATCATGAAGCTCCAACTCCCCTGCCACATGCAGGGCCACCAACCTCCCCATTTAATACTAGACCAGGCTGCCCAGGGCCTCATCCTGGGCCTTGAACACCTCCAGGGACGGGACATCCACAACCTGGGCAGCCTGTTCCAGCACCTCACCACTCTCTCTGTAAAGAACTTCCCCCTGACATTCAACCTAAATCTTCCCTCCCTCAATTTAAGACCATTTCTCCTTGTCCTGCTGTTATCTACCCTTTCAAAGAGTTGACTCCCCTCCTGTTTGTAGGCTCCCTTTATGTAGCAGAAGGCTGCAGTGAGGTCACCCTTTCTCTTCAGAGTGAACAAGCCCAGCTCCCTCAGCCTCTATGAACTTGTGCCATTTGGCAAATAAAATGCAGTGATTGCTGCTGATAATATTTCAGCATGTCTGTATGTGTGTGTGCCTGTGAAGGGACATTTGTTTTTTGTTATTAAGCAGATATGCAAGTTTTCTTCTTTAATAATTAAGTTTGGCCTTGTGTTTCCTTGTAAAATAACTTATTAAATGAACTTATTCACTGCAGAAGAAATATCCAGAATACTTGTGCAGTGCTGACAAATGTTTTAATTTTCACTGTCTCGAGAAGCTCACAAAAAATAATTTGCAATGTGTTTTTTCCTATGGATTTGACTGCTTATTTAAATGAGTTAAATGTGTTTTCAAGGTGTGAATCAGCTTACATGTACTATGTTTCAAACCATAAGAGCATTGAAAATGAGACATAAATTATGGAAAGCTCAAGTCATGGCAAATAATTGTATGCTTTTTGATACATCGTCTGAACACAGTCCTGTGAGTAACAAAAAATAGGCAGCCACTCTTTCTGTGGCTGTCAAGCAGGGATTTCAGGCCTACATCTACATTACAAACTCCAAGAGAAGCAGGAGCCAGCTCTTGGCCCTAAGGCCCAGAGGCGAGAGGACTGGCTTGTGTCCATACAGCGTAGGATTTGCCTTCCTTTAGCTGGATTTGATGAAGTTC